AAAATTACAAGATCACTTCCCACTCTAAAAAAGGTCCTTCATTTTTCTCTTCTTTATACATGGAGCCTAAGTTTTTATGTGTTGCAATTATAATTGGAAAAAAAACCTGTATTTTTCTTTTCTTGAATAATGTCTTTTCTTGAATATAGTTTATAAGAAAAAAGACTGAGTCTGTTTTGTTCATCAAAGGGTTTCCAGTGCCAAGTAATGAATAGTTTATAAATGACTGAACAAGTGAGGCGTGGGGGCAGAACTCTTGATAGGAAGTTGAAGGGGTTCCCATCTGGTAGCTTTCTTTATTTCCGAATACAGGATCATTTTTCTCAGTGAGGTATGGAAAAGAATTGGATGTGTGAGAATATGAGAAGGCTTAACACTGTTGCATAAAGTGAAGAATAAATATGTGGTGGTGGCAATCTGTCTTATATTGCAATTATTTTTAAAGTGTCACTCATTTTGGAGAATATTAAAAAAGAGAACACGATGGTTAAGTATTAGAATTTAGTTAATTTTGAAGTAAATGTACATGGTTAAAATGAAAAGGCAGAGGTCAAAATACATCCCTGAGAAAATGATCTTTGAGGTTCATGTAATTTTATTCATAAAAAATAGAAGAAATTTCTGAGATGTCAAGGATAGAAGTTAATCAATGGGTAACTCAGCAAGCAGAGCAGTAGACTTTGGGTAACAAGGGATAAAATGATAGTAAGGTTAGTCTCATAAAAGGCAGAGGATTGTGAACATAAAAATTCAGCAGATAATTCGTAACTGCCATGAAGGGGATAAAGGCTTACACGAGGGTGTGATCTGTATAGTGATTTGCATCCTGATTCATGTTTGTGGCACTATGTACCTTGGAACCTAATAAGTCAAGTAGAGAATGTAAACATGTTCTTGGAATTGTGGTATAGGGCCAGATATTGCTTTTCTTCATAAACACATATATCAGGAGTTGAATGTTTACACATCAATCTATACTTAGACACTAGGAAGGGAAAGTATAAAGTCAAATGGTCTATATGCATCAGGTTGGTACTTGGCCATAGTTTGGTTAGCACTGCTTCCAGGACTGATACGGTGTCCTTCTATCTAATTTAAACTTTATGGCCTGAAGTTTATTTTTCTCTAAAATTTTAAGGATTCTGAAAGTTGTGATTCTTCAATCATTCACTTCAAGTTGTGAAACAGTTATAATAGGTATGACTTCTCTGTATAAAATATGAAAATATTCCTGTTTTATTTTGTAGTAACAATAAATTGAAGCTCTTTTACCACTCTAATCTATACCTATATAGCATGGCAACTTATTAATTCTCCCACTCATTTTTATCCTAGATAATCTCAGGCCCATAAACCACATAATACCTTATATAAAGATTTAATCCACTTCAACTAACATTTGTACTCCAGACAAAATCTTTATTTCTGGCATCCCAAAGAAGGAAGATTTAACCAAATTGCTCTGATGGGATTGGAGTAAAAAAAATATTGTTTTGTTCAAGATTTAATTTATTGTTATTGTTTTATAGTTTGTTTAAGACCCTCTGTTTTACCCTCTTCACAAATATTAAATGTGATGTTTTACCTGTCCATACAATCAAATAGTTTTAAATTACCTAAAAATGTGTATCATCATTTAACAAAAATAGCACTGAACAAGAACTCAGTTAATGCCTTACAACAGATCCTCTCAGCTAAGCTAGTATTATCAAAATGTAGCAAAGTAGTGCTAATGTATGTCACATTATGTCAATAGATGCTCTGAGATCAGAGGCAGAAATTTAAAAATATTTAAGCTGATCTAAATACATATATGTTTATATAATATATATAATATATACGTATACAGTAGCATTGTTATTCTATTAAATGTATAATTTAATGTTTTTATATACCAGTTAAAATAAATTTAATTTTAAAAACTCAAAAAATGAGATAGATAAAGAGAAAAATAAGACAACGCGTTTGTATTTTTTATTTCCAGAGTAGACTTGTAGAATGGATGTTAATAGACATAATACTCCTTTGGAATTTAAAGCTATGAATGTAGGTTCACTTATTATTTTGGATATAGGTTGGTGTTCAGTATGAAAAGATGCTGAGTGTTGAAAGATACACTACACTATGTTCATCTGAATGCCAGGAAATAAAACCATCTTAAATTACATTCATATAAATCAGAATTACCTGCCTCTTGTTTCTGTGAACTAATATTAAAAATTCACCCAAACCAAACTGAAAAGTCTCTTCAGTTTTCTATTTTCTTTCCAATTTCCAGTTAATTTGAATCTCAAGTTCAATATTAGCAATGATATAAAATACTATAACTATAGAAAATGGGAATATTATGTGATTTTTTTAACTTCTAATATCAAAGAAATATTGATACCTTCAGGGTCATTATCTGAAAAGTGCATTCCCAAGACCATGTGCTTTTTTTTTTTTTTTAAGATTTCAGGGTAACTAATGATTGCATCCACAATAAAACTTAACATCAGATCTTATGCTTTATAAGTAAAGATGAAAGGAAATTTAGTTAATGCCTTGATTTTAACATGGAATAATCTTTCCCATGTTATTTAATCCTGAAATGCTTTAGCTTCTTTAGCCATCAAGAGATTTGCACGTCTGCTTCATAGCACTGCCTTGTGTATTGAAAGTAAAAAAGGAACTGTATGTTAAAGCACAAAGCAAATAGCTTTTATTAGTAAGCTTGTCACATCCTAATATCAATGACACAATTCTTGGGAATGCATTTGATCCAGAAAGGAGTTAGAGCTTTTGTACAAAGCTCACCTAAGACAGGTGAAGATGGCAGAGCAGATCTAGGCAGCAATCCCCAACCCCTCCACAGCTCAGAATGGAAGCCATGAAAGAAAAGCTGATCAGACAAGTGGGGGACCAAATGAATAAAACTCAACATTGGGCAGTTTGAGACTTGAAGTGACTTGGAGTTTGATTAATGGAGGTGAAAATATGGACAGATTTCCATAACCCCAAACCCAGATTAAGATGAGGTCAGAGTGGAGGTTTAAGGAAGAGAGGAAGAAAAAGAGCACATAAAGTTCTTTCCTTATTAATAGCTAGGAAGAAAAGCAGAGCACATTAAAATGCCATAGGAACACAAAGGACAGGAAAGATCAAGCAGGGTAACCCAAACTGTGGATTGAAATCCTTGCTAGCAAGACAGTCATTTTGTAGAGTTCACAGATTGACAGCCTCTCTAGGAGACATTAAATCAACAGGATTTCTCCTCACCTTCCATTAACACCAAATAAAACCAGAGGGAATGACTCTGTAACTGTATGATTCAGTAATCTGTCTAGAAGGAACTTGTAGATTGCAGCTTGCTAAAAGTTACTGAAATCTTCTCTCCCTTTACCATGAACAAAGGGAGTGGGATGGAGCAGAGAATAGAGCTAAACACTCTCAGGGAATGCTAGTCCTGACATGTCACTAAACACAGTCTCCATGGGAGATCAGCTGACATATTATCTGACACCCCACCCCCATCACAATGATGAGTAAAACTCCTGAGAGTTACATCAGTCAGGATGGAGGCGTTTGTTCCACAGAAGGCCCACAGAATCCTTGCACTGACCCACAGACCCAATACCTCCAGATAGGCACCAGATTCTGGATAGCAAGGTTTTCCTGAGCAGATCACAACTAAGAGGAATGCACTCCCATAATTCACAGCCTCTGGTAGCTAGAACTAGAAATAAATGGGCCAACTGACCCTCTATTCCATGCAATATAGCGGAGCAGCATCCATGATTCACCACTGTGTGGGAACTCTGATGCAGGTGGACAAACTGATTCTTGTCCAGTCATAGGGAAGGTACCGTAGGAAGTCTCATCAGTCGGGGCGGGGGGGAATGCTTCTGCATAACACATTACCCAAGTGCACAATTTCTTGCAGCAAAAAGAATAAAAACCTTGAGTTCTACATTCTGTTCTTTTACGTTCAACAGAAACTGTTAACAAACATGGCACAGAACCCTCCCAGGATGCAGCCTCAGGCAACTCAGGTGACCAGTAAGAACCAGCTGGCGAGAAACTATAGCAGGAGAATAGCTACTGTGCCCCACCACCTCTAGGAGGACCAAAAGACAAAGAATGATGAGCTTCACCTAAAGAGTTTTCTTCACCTTGGTATGTATTACTATAAATAGCTCTAATGACAATTTTGATCTTATATTTATGTCTTCATTTCAATTTGACAATTTACCTAATATTCAATATTATATCTTCAACCATCCGATTATATTTCTTCTGTTGTTTTAAAGCATTAATGGAAATCATTCTATTTTTGTTTTTCTAGTACAGTTTTAAATTTGCTCCTCTTAACTCTTCGTTTTCTTCTTTATGCCTTGATTTGTATTATTATTTTTATATTTTCTTTTGCCTGATATTTTTCTTCTGCACTTTTCTGACCTTATGTAATGTAATATCAATTTTACTATATCTAATAACTAATTATTCAATCTATTTCAGAACAATACTACAATTTTATACTTGGCTTAGAGGAACTGTGGTGAATATTTTCAACAAATATTTGTTTTCCTAATATTTATCAGGACATTGTTTAGCTTTGAATTGATTGTAGTAAATAGGGTTTAATATCTTCTCTCAAAGTGGGATTGCTACTTGGAACATGAAAAGACATACATTGAGTGAAATTATCAATACCTGGATAGTCACCAAACTTTGGGCTCTGAAGAGAAAGAATCTCACTAAGTAGTCCCTTGCATGAATGTAGAAGTGATAATCATCCAAGCAGATGGGTAGATATACAAGCAGTGTGAAAAGCATGGGGAAAATCAACCTAAACAGCCCACAACACTTTACCAACTTATCTCATTGACAGAAAACATCAGAGAAAGAAAATAGAAAGTTCATAGTTAAAATGTTCAATGAGCTAAAACAAGATATAAGGAATAAACTTAGAAAATACAGAAAGTGAAACATCATTTCAATAAAGAGAGAGATTATGAAAAATATCCTGGAAATGAAACACTCAACCAAATTAAAAATTCAATGGAAAACACCATCAATAGATTAGACCACTTTGGAGACAGACTGTCATGACCTGAAGACATACATAATCTTGAAAATAAAGTTGATAATTAAAAAAAAATGTGCAGAGGCTATAACCATAATATTGAGAAATCTGGGATAACATTAAAAGACCAAATGTAAGAATCATTGGAAGAGATGAAGTCTCCAAAATTCAAAGTAAGAAAAAAATGCACAACCTGTTTAATGAAATAACCTCAAAAAATTTTCAAACCTTGAGAAAGAAATGGAAATCAAAATATAAGAACCATATAGAATCCACAAATAGGCATAGTCACAAAAGAAGCTCTCCAATATACATTATAATTAAAATGCCGAATATTCAGAATAAGTGTAGAATTTTAAAAGCCCAAAGAGATAAGTAGATCACATTTAATGTAAGCTACTTAAGATTTCAACTGATTTCTTAACCCATGCCCTAAAAGCCAGAAGCGCATGGGATATTATATCAAACCCCTAAAAGAAATTGGGTGACAATCAAAATTACTATATCCAGAAAAACTATCCTTCAATTTGAAGATGAAATAAAAACCTCCCATGATTACAGAAACTAAAATAATTCATAACCACTAAACCTGCACTACAGAACATTCTCAATGAAATATTTTATGCAGTAGAAATAAAAATCGAAAGTGAAAACCAGCATTGGGATGAATCACACTAGAAATAAAGTCCATTAGAAGATAATGAAGTCTCACTTAAGCATTATAAGTAAATAAAAATGACAGGAAATAAAAAATTATCTCTTCAGAATAATATTGAAGTTAAAATGATCTAAACTCTCAAATAAAAAGACATAGATTGGCAGTTTTAATTAAAAAACAAACTTAACCCTATAGTGTTTATAAAAAGTCACCTTACAGACACCTTACAGACCTTCCATAGGTGGAAAGTGAAAGGAAGAAAAAAAAATATCACGCAAATAGAGATTGAAAAGGAGCCAAAAACATGCACTGGAGAAAAGATGGCCTCTTCAACACATGGTGCTGGGAAAACTGGGAATCCATATGCAGCAAAATGAAATTAAGACCCTATCTCTCACCATGCAAAAAACTCAACTCAAAGTGGATCAAGGACTTAGGAATTAAACCAGAGACCTTGGATCTAATAGAAGAAAAAGTAGGCCCTAAATTTCATCATGTGGGATTAGGCCCCAGTTTCCTTAATAAGACTCCTATAGTGCAAGAATTAAAATCAAGAATCAATAAATGTGATGGACTCAAACTAAAATGTTTCTTCTAGGGAAAAATTCATTTAGATGTATAAGAGTCCCAGAATAACCAAAAGTTATCATGAGAAACAAGAGTAATGCTGCAGGCATAACAATCCCAGACCTCAAATTATAGTACAGAGGTATAGTAACAGAAGCCGCATGGTACTGGCATCAAAATGAAATGAAGACCAATAGAATAGAAAACACAGAGACAAATCCACAAAGATACAGTCATCTTATACTCAGCCTAGTTGCTAAAAACATGCATTGGTTAAAATATAGCCTTTTTAATAAATGGTGCAGGGAAAACTGGATATACATCTGTAGAAAAATGAAACTAGATCCCTTTTTCCCTGTACAAACTCCACTCAAAATGGATTGATGAGTTGGGAATTGCACCAGAAACTTTGCAACTGCTAGAAGAAAACATAGGCTCAACATTTCAAAGCACTGGCTCAGGCACTGGGTTCCTTAACAAGACTCCTAAAGTGCAAGAAACATTGGTTTTGTATCTACAAGTATTTCTAAAGAGAAGTCCTTATACCCCATAGAGGATAAGAAACAGAAAGTTTAATTTTATGAAATTGAGGACTTTCATCTTCTGCTTAAAATGTGCAGTACTGTAAAAAGCCTCATTCTTATTCATATGACTGAAAACATGCCAGATAATTTGAAAATTCATAAATTTCTTGAATTCACCAGAGAAGTGAGATTCATGTCAAAGGAAGTAGAATAACTAAAACAATTTTGAGAAACATTATTGAAGAACTCACACTATAAAATTAAATAAAGCTACAAAACAAGCAATGTGATATTAGCGAAAGGCCCTGTGCATAGATTAATGAAACAAAGAATTTTATGAATTCATAGAAATCCCTATGCAGGTACAATCAACTTGTTCCTGACAAAGCTTTAAAGCCAAATCAATAGGAGAGGATGCCAGGGTTGAGGCAAATTCCTGTAATCTGTGCAACCAGGTAGGATGAGGAAGGTGGATTGCAAGTTTGAGGCCAGCTTTGACTATTTAGGCATACCCTGTCTGAAAGTAAAAAATAAAAATAGTTGGAGATCTAGTTTCAGAGTAAAGAATCCCTGGATTCAATTACCACCACCACAAAAGGGAAGACTGTTTTCACAACTACTCCCCAGAGAATGGCATGTCCATATACAGTAGAATAAACAAAGAAATCTTAACATACACCTAACACTTTACAAAAATATTTACTAAAAAAGATCAAAGTGCCTCATGTAAAATATAAACTTTAGGTTTTCTAGTAGAAAACCTAACAGAAAAAGCTGTATTATCTTGTATGAGCAATAAGATTTCAGATGGAAAACTATGGGAGTAATCAATGAAAAAAATATTAAAAATTAAATATCAGAATTAAAATTATTTTCTCTGTGAAAGATATTTTCAAGGAAAAAAAACTGCATGCTTCAGACTGGTAAAAATTATGCATATTGCATATCTTGCAATGTAATTTTTTCCAGAATATACAAACATAATCATAAGAAAATGAACAATCTGATTAAATATAGGTAAATTTTCAAATAAATTCTTCACATAATAAGTTATACAGATTACAAATAAACACATTCAAATATTGTCAATGTCATTAATTGTTAAGAAACTGCAAATAAATGCCACTGTGAGATAACATTCTATATCTACCAAGATGGCTAAAATAAAAATAAGTAATAACATCAAGTGTAATAGAGCAACTGCAATTTTCTTGCAATGTGAATTGTTACCACCATTTAGAAAAAAGTTTGAGTGTTTCTTAAGAAATAATACACCATCATAAAACTTCAATCCCACTTTAGAGTAACATTCAAACATAATGACAACAAAAGTATTTATAAAGTTTTTATTTATAATTACCTCAAACAGAAAACAACCTAAAATGTTTCTCAGTAATAAAAACCATATACAAACTGTTGTAGATCATAGAATTGCACTTAGCACAAAAAATAGCAATTAATCAGTGTAACACTATGGCTATAATTTAAGTGAATTATGTTAAAGGTAAATGCTAAATTATAAAAGATGACTTACTAAGAAAAAGAAGAGCTAAATACTGAAAACTTTCTAACAGTAGCATGTCTAAGAGTTACAAGTTACAAAAAGAAGGTGGTGGCATTGCCAATAGTAGTCTGGATTTCCATTAGGACTATGATGGAACTTATAAAAAATAATGCAATGGTAACTTCTGCTACTTGAGTCCAACTTTTGCCTGTATTCATTGCCAAGATATTGGGAATTTAAATAATCTATAAGATGTTCTTTTGAAAAATAAATTCAAACACATACACATGAGCATCTGACCCATATTAATTGTATCAGATCTATCAGAGACAAAAGTCATTATGATACTGATAACTTCAGTGAATAAACCAACATACTCTGAAAATATTTAGCTCTTAAACTGAAATGGAATATGATACCAATATTTTCCTTGACTGGAAAATTAATTTGAAACAAAATGAAAAGAATCTGTAAAGATCTTATGCTGAGATTTCCCCAATCAGTGAAATATATGCATCTTGTTTCCTTTTTACATCATTTTCTGTAATCAGTATTGTGCCAATCCCCTGTTTTACTAAATTGATTGTGAGATAGAGTTGGAGAAAAGATAATGAGAGATAAAAGGGTTTAAAAAATAAAAACAAAACAAAACCCCTCAGATTAGTATCCACATTATACAATTTTTATATTTCTTTCAGGGGTTGTTTTCAACAAATCTCTTATAGATCTTTTTTATTTATTTACCTATACAAATGTAGGATTGAAGTGTTAACAAGGAATCATGTGTGTTTTGATAATTTCAAAAATATGCAATAGCTTTATATTAATCTGAATCATTATTAATCATTATCCTGAAGTTAGTAATTATATGTACTTAATTTTATTTAATGTGAAATTTACACCTTTGTCACATGTCTTGTGCATAAAAGTGATAGTGAAAAACATAGAGATTTCCAGAGTATACTACTTCTAAAAACTAGAATCATAAAAAAATTGGCACATATTGATACATTTACCAAATAAGGCATTAGAGGAAGGTACATGAGCATTAGGAAAATTATTATTTAAAATACATCTAAAGTTTCAGATTGTTCACTAATAGTTAGTTTTAGGACCAGGGAAAAGAGAAAAGTTTTTCTCATGGTGTTCAGCAATATTTTCATATTTATGGTGGCTTAAGTTCCTCCCCAAACTAGTCGCATCTTCTAAGTGGATACATGAAACACTGTTCCCAAGTAGGGAGATGCAGAAACACATCCTGGATTTCTCCATTAAAGAGTCCATCTTTTCCTGCTTCTTCTTAAAGGCTAGCACCTGAAACAAGCAGAGGCCAATGTGCTATATCCTCACATCACACATATCACTAACAAAAACCCATGTAGAACACAACCATCAACATGTATTTCCCAGTAATAAGGAGAATCTGTCTTAATTCACTCTAATTAAATAAGTGGTGAGCCTTGGGTTATCTTATTACTCTCTAGATTCACAAATTCTCATGTAAGTGCTCAGAATACTGTGAAAGATTTCTCCCATATCATTTGGGTATAAAATAGTGAACGAAGTAATGTATTCAAAATTTGATATATATTCTATACTTCTAAGTAAAAATGCACCAGTAGGGATGTTTCCCCCCTATCCTTGTAACAGTGTCCATTTTAATTTATCCACCTGGAGGCAATAATTTATCCACTTCTTCTGTAAATTAAAGGAATGTATTTCACAACTAGAAATCTCAGGTCAGTTGGAAAGAGAAGGTGGCTGCCACAAGATGGGAAGAAGATTCAGAGTCAGTAATCACTTGCATTACTTTTCAAATTCCAGGGTGCCTAAGAATGGACATGATTGTGTGGGGGTGATCAAGATAGCAGGATATGCAAGTGAGGATGATAGCACAATGATCCTGTGGAAAAACAGATGGTAGATTCAAGGAGCAATGACAAATCTGTGTGTCTACCCTCCTTTTATGTGACCTGAAGTCAGTGTCCTTTGTCCTTCTTCCCCCCGCCAGCTGTAGACCAGATGGAAAGAGCCTTGAACTTTCACACTCAATTGTTGAGAGGCTCCAGGCACCTGGCATTAAGTATTTCCTAGAAACTGGATGAATTTTGTGTAGAACACTGGAGGACCATCTCCAACATCCTAAGATAGCACATTGTTTTTGGATTACTGGTCCCTCTAGTGGGCTGAAAAAATTTTTCTTAAAACATTCAAATTTACCTTTTCCTACCTGTGACTTTCTATATGATATTACTGTGAGTTTGTATATGATATTTCATGGAAGTTAATAATGTTCTTCATTTATACTTTTAAATTCATAGCTCTACTTTAAATTGGTCTGCTTAGACTATCTTTCTTAACCTGTGGTGCTGTGGAATTACAAATCATGTGTCCAGATTGACAAGCCCCATTTTGGCCTCTTCTTCATGTCCATCTTGTGAATGTTATTTAACCTATGTCTTAAATTCCTTATTTGGAATTTCAGAACATTATATCCATCCACTATGTGTGGAATTATTATGAAGGTATAACAAATTTATTGATATATTTTCAGAAAGTTCTTAACATACTTGATGCCAAATAAATTTCATCTACTGTGATTATATCTTCATTCATTCCAGAATTCAGCCTAGACCTAGCATAATGTCTAATATACATAGAATCCTGGTTTAATGTGTACTAAGTAAGTGAATACATCTTTGAAATATTTTTTACAACAAAGTTTTCCTCCTTGTTTCTCCTATATAATTTCTAAAAATAATTCTTTTATGTGGGGAACTCTATTAAAATATCTGTTGACTATTGTTAAGAATAGGAACATTATTTTAAAATTATTTCCATTTTAACTGTGTAGTAGTTTAGCTAAACATCCCATGATGTCACTGTTAACATGAAAAGAATTCCACAGTAGTTGAATCCTTCTCAAGAGATAATAAACTAAAGGAACGTACACTGTCAAAATGTGTGTGTGCTCTGTTTTCACAAATAAGTACATGATCTAGCTTAAATGTTTTCTTTAGCAATATCTTATTTGGAATTCACTAAATGTCATCTTTATCATGCCATCTAATTGATAATTTTCAAAGTAATTTTTGGCATCTTCTCATTGTATTTTGCTTTGGCCAACGGCTCAGTGTTCTTTTGATTGCTTTTAAAAGCTTCTTTGGCTTGTGTCCATACTCTGAGCTTTAGTTCTATTCAAATTTGCATTCAAAGTTTCATGGGCTTATCTGAATTTTCTGTAATGGAAAATACACACCTTTATTTCTCTGAAGTAAAACATTTTCTAATTTCTTACAAACTATTAAGTTTTAGTCAATTTGTAGTTCTTTGAAATTATGACAACAAACTTAATTGATCTTTATCTTTTGTTCTATTTTTGGTTTTAACCTAGAAATAAGCAATGTATAGGGATAGAACTACAAATCAGAACATTTACATTTCATTATCTCATTTCTTCTCTTTTAACTGACATTAAATTCTAAAAATACTTCAAAAGGTTTCCTTCCTATGGTTCATTCAGAAATAATGTATATCATTGATTACAACATAAAACCCCTACTTAGTATTGTGACCCTTTAAAAGGGTCATGAGGTAAAATTTTATTTAAACTGTGATAGAGGTTATAATCCTGGTCTTTCCACTCGACTATCAATTGTTTCTTTTAAAAATATAATATTAAATTGAAAATATATTTAGTATAAGATTTACAGGAAGACTACGTTCAATTTAGCAGGTTTGTATGACTATAACAAATAATGATTTTTCAGGTACATTGAAAGAAATCTTAATTTACTGCCTTCAATCCTGTCCTATAAGAAAGTGAGTAGACAAAAGGTAAAATTCCTATTGTTGTCATCTCAATTTGCTGCACAAGGTTCACTCTCTTGCATTAAGGGAGTTACACAAATTAAGCATGATTGTGGTATGTTAGTCTTATAATTAGTACCTTCTAATTCTATTCACAAGAGCCAACCACCTAGTGTTCTTAGTCACATCTGATCTACAAAGCAAGAAATTTGCATGTGGCAAATGGCAGCACTTTCCAAAAAGCAGTTAATCATTAAGGGGAAAAAGCCTCTTGGCATTTATTGTTCACAGCACAAGGGAAAGGTATTAATATGGCTGCAATTTCAATTCCCAAAGAATTTCCTCACAGTTTAACATAGATTAATGTCCAAATGCCATTAAGTGTTTCTATACCTTTCTGTTAAGGACGGGAACCATTATTATACAAACTGATGAAAGTTTCCTGCTGAAAATACAGGTCAGGTAACATTTTAATGTACAAAGAGGCAATCAGTGATTTAAAACTACTGCTTTGTTATGCTGCAGAAAAACAGAAGAACCTCTATTCTGGGGACTAATTGGCCACTAAGTGAAAACTTCATTGACAGGTTTTTAGTAGGACCTTCCGCTTCTAGCTACCTGAGAAGAAAAGGTCATCTTTGTGAGCAAAATAACAGACCCTCTTAGCAGCCTGGACAAGCAATCCTCATTTCTGTAGCAGGAATTTAAACAAATGGAGGACTCATCACCAACACAGCCATTTCCCATGAGTACCATGAATGGCATCAAACAATCTGCATTAAAGCTGCTGAGGCAATTGTTAGTCCATTGACTTGTAAAATTAAAATAATAAAAGATGGGAGCATGAATACACAATGCAATTGGAAGGAGAAGTAAATTCTCCCATAGCAGTACACAATGAGTGGTATATTGAAAATGGAATCAGATTTCTACTTTTCCAGTGTTCAGAGTTTGGATCATTTTCAATTTGAGTTTTTCAGAGCAAATTTGTTTTTCTTTCTCCTTATTTTCTTTTGTCACTTCCTTCTTATTTTCTTTCATTATTCCCAATACTTTCTCCTACTCAAATGTCTACAATCATCATAAAGGTGGTGTCAAGATATGAACTGTTAACCTGTCTGATGTATAAAAAAAAGTTAAGAATATTTTAATAAATAGTGACCCCAAATGAGTAGTATACATTTTGAGACTAGATTGGACAAGCACAAAAAAGAAATAGATATCAAATCACCATAAACCTTAATATGCCGAACTTTGTAATTTAATTGGTAATTTGTAATTAATTTGCCTTTTATTTACTAACTCTGTAAATTCAGATGTTCTAATTTATATAGAGGGTTTTTTTGTTAAAGAATTTTAAAAGCATTACTGGATATAACTAGTACAATAAATGCACTGTTTTGTTATTAATATTATATTAATTCCAGATAGATATATGCATTTATACTTTTTTAAAAACAATTCTCCATTTTCTACACTATAGGTTCAACCTGTTTCCAAATAAGGGCAATGGAAATCAGAGTCTTTTTATAAGTTTTTTTTTTCCTGTTAGCTTTTCAATTATTCATAGAAGATAGCAAGAAACAAATAAGAATTCAGAGCATTAAACTGGAGCAGAACTAAAGCACTTACAGTATCTTTGCACTAGATATTTGATCTTTGTAATCTTTAATTTCTTCATTGGTAAAATATGAATTGTCAGTGGTCAGAAAATGCTACCCCAAAGTACTATGAGCTAAGGGACACTGAAAGTTTCTCAGAATCAGGAAGATTATTCTGAACTTCCTCCAAAACTTGTGTGAGATATGGCCATAATAAAATCTCTGATCTATCTTGCCTTTAAGTTATAAGACCCTAATTCCAGAGGGTCTGTCCCAGTATTTGGGGTGAAGTGTGGAGATGGAGGGAGAAGGAATGCTACACAGAAAGGCCAAGAAGAATTTGAACAAACAAGTCTTTCTTTCTTTCTTTCTTTCTTTCTTTCTTTCTTTCTTTCTTTCTTTCTTTCTTTCTTTCTTTCTTTCTTTC